AATTTATAGCAGTCGAAGCAGGGAAATGAAAAAAAAAAAAAAAAAGAAATGATGAAACAAAAGATGACGGGAAACAGAGAAGCCTACAGATGTCTTGTTGCTTCTTTTATAAGCGTCAGCTCCTTATTGTTAAATTCGTTTTCTTCTTTTTGGAGAAAGCAGAAATCGGCCATACATGATGTTCTGTCAAGCATGACTCAGCTTCAAACCAATATCGATTACATGCCTGATGAGTAATACATCAAGTCACGGCATTCAAATGAGTAAGATATAGAGAATACTTCATGGAAAGTGCTGGCGTACGGTATTTACGCACGAGTTGTTGACGTATCAGAAATCGAACGAGTGAGCGCAGCGAACGAGTAAGATTTCTGTTACAAAAACAACGAGTGCGTAAATACCGTACAAAGCACTTTCCATGTGGTATTGTGTTTATTATATACATACTGAGTCATTCATCATTTTGTGGGCCTTCTTATTTTAAATCTTTCAAAAATGCTAAAATTTGCTGCTACACACTTACCGCAAAATGACAACGAAAACGAAGTATCAGCTTTTTAGTAAAAACTTTTGTTAAAAACATAAATGACGGTGAGGATATGAGGTTTAATCCAAGAACTATAAGTAATCTTAACTGTTTGTTCTCAATGCACAATTGAAAATGAGTGAATTTAAGTAAAATGGCCGGTTTCAATATAAGCTTAAGCTTAAATGAAAGGCAAAGTAGCTCCGACAAAAAGCACAACAAAAGCTTACGTCTCGTTCTGTTTATCCCTTTCCGCTGTTGTTTCGCCGGCTCTCTACCGTATTTTTTTATCGACAGTGAAACAAACGAAACTATTCCACTCCATTTCCGAAATGTTTTTCACTTTTTTAGCGAGAAAAACTCTATGAGTAAAACTTTTCTCGTTGATAAATGTGTGCGAAGCGGCCCTGCAAGCTGCAATAAAAGGCGGGAATTTTGGCGCGAAACTCGCACACCTCTGTGGCTTCTGATTGGACGTATCATTTTTCTCACACGTGAAAAAACATCGTTCGCGATTCTGATTGGACGTATCGTTTTTTTCACGTGTGAAAACCATCGTTCGCTCCTCTGATTGGCTATAACTAATTTGCGTACGAAAATTTACGACATAGCTTTTTGGTGAGTATTTCTCAGTATGTATATAATAAGTTATCTTATTAGATGCCTGATTGTATCGTCTGCGAAGAGACGATCAAGCTCCAGTTTAAAAGGTATTTATGTCTTGACTTAAACTTGAACTTCTCACGCTTGATCTGATGATGTGTAAATGTCAGTGGTTGTATCATGGCCTGAATAGAGCCGGTTCGCGTAGGCACTTAATTAATCAAGTTATTTTGCTGGCAAATTTGTTCTGATCTACCATGCAAAAATTGTACAAAATCACTTAGACGCGACGTAAAAATGCGATAATATACTTTTGAGTTAATATGAATCACAGTATTTATGGGTTTTTCTCTTTAAAGCGCCCTGACAAAGCACAGAAAGGCAATATTAATTATAAAAGCACTCTGCTAAGTAATTCAAGGTGTCAAAATGCAGATGAAAAAAACATCCCACATTCATTTTCATTCCATTAAAAATAACTGACAAAAGAATAAAAGAATAAAAACAGCGCATTCGTCAAACGCCCCTGCGTTCTTTGAAGCTTGGAATATATTTTCGCAATCTCTCGCACAATAAGCCTTCTCTCTGGTGACGTCTGCAGGCAGGCTGTTAGATTCAAGCAATGCACTAGCGAAACAAGTGGAAGCGGATTTACTGTTAGGGAGCTTATCGGCAAATACGTCAAAGATGGCGACCAGAAGGTAAAAAAGAATCAGTTTCTAAGCAGAACAAAAACTCTGCGCTTGCAGTACTGTGATCCTTTACACCATATAGCTCTTGTTGTTAAATTTCTTTGACGTGCACTGCGCGGCTGCAACGTGAAAAGCTTTCGCTAGCGTGTGTACAGCTGCCCCCTGCGACGTTTTGTGGACGACGAGAACAGGACAGAACACACAACAACAAATTTTCCTTTCATTTTATGAGCATGTAACGGCGATTAAGATTTCAACTCCTGGAAATTTCGTGTACATTTTTGCAAATTGGTGAGATGCTAAATAGACGCGATAAAGTAGAATGCAGATTCAATTTGTCATGACGTTTTGACTTTCGTCGTGGTCATGGCTGCTTAGTTCCCTATTATCCCGGAAGAAACAGAAGGATGTTCAAGCGTTACGTCAGAGTACCAAGAGCTGAATTTATACTCCGTCATATGTTAACTGTTTGTTTTGGGTGTTTAATGCTTGTGTCTTTAAGCCACAAGCATGTCGGCCCTTCGTTGATGCTGAAACTTGAGTAGAATTGCAGTGATAAAATAAACGTGTTATGTGTGACTAATGGTATTACGACGGTGCCGTAGTCAAATTGAATATTGTATAATATATTGGGTAATAGACACTCCTCCATACTACCTGCCTCGATTAGCTCCGCTATTTTGTGGGGAGTCTGTATTTGTATTTTATTTATTGCGAATGTAAACAAATAAAGCTAGACCGCGTAATAACCCGGCGTAATAATCATGTTATCCACTTTGATGTGTTACGCATTGTCTTCTTCTGCAGCCAAATCAGTTTATTACGTTTTGCGTTGATTGACATGAATTACCCAATCTTTTAACCGAAATGACCCTTTCGCACTACGGCAGCTTTAGCATTCAGGCTACAAAATAAATATACTGATGCCTGATCAAAGGTTAAGCTGTTTTTAGGAAAATTTCCGCGCCGTGAAAAAAGCTTTTCATCAAAGGAGGACACCTCTCTAGATGCGTTGTTAAGATAAATCCGACAAGCGACAGGTCCTATAAAGTAGCTACAGCGCAATTTGAAAATATCGTGACGAAAGACAACTTTTCTCTTAATTTAGCGAAAAAGAACAGTAGTTTTGGTATGCAATTTGAAGACCAAGAATTTGCCAAAAGGATTAGGAAAAAAAGAATGACCAGAAGGATTAAGCATTAGAAGCTATTAGAAAAATCTCAGGGATGTCATCGTGAAGTCATCTTTGTTTCATTGAAGGTCTCCATCTTTGAGAGAGTTGTCTGTGTGGTCTTCTTTTAACAGCTCCCTCCCCTCTCCGTGTTAGGAAGTAAAACTTTCAATCATTCATGATGCAAAAGACGATAATCAGTGGCTTTCCATTATATTAGCAGATTCGTCAACATAGATTGCAGCCAGTTCGATTAATGCCAAATTTTTTCTCCTTTCTCATCTCTTCAGTATGTGTTTTTTTTTCCTATATTAATCATTTTTTAGGCTTAGTATTTGCTCTTTGTACTCCTCACACATTGAAAATTTTGCTTAGTTTCATAAGCGGCATGGATAACGATTCAGACTTGAGTCTCAGTTGCATGCAAGTCCTTATTATTTGGTCGTGGCCCAAAAAGAGTAATCGAAACGGCTTGTTTTGACGCAAAAGTGCAATAGGCACGCAATACGTGCTAACGTAAACGAGGCAAGTAAACAAGCGAGGCGATGCGAATGTCTGCCATGCGAACGTCATTCAACACTACATATTCGTATTCGTATTTTAAGACTTGGTGCATCAAATCAAAGAAATGCTTCCCAAATGATGGTGTAATAAAAATGCAGACTTACAGGATATTGCAAGATCTTTGCGGATTTGCTGGTACAAATGTCTGTTTTTGGTAATTGCATTACATCTACATTAGATGGTGTTGCATACCAAGGAAAAGAAATATAGATATAACAGACTAAAATAAAATGGAATAAAAAAAGCAGCTGAGATTTCCCTGCGAACAGAGGTTTCTTTCTGGCATGGCTTTGAGCATTGCGAAGTCATTTGCATGACTTGTCAGTTACATAGTTGTAAACAAACCAACTAAGCGACTTTCAACCCATGAGCAACGCGAATGACTGTTAATGCGAAAGGCCATGCCAGAAAGAAACGTTTGCTCACAGGCTAGCTAAGATCATTATAAACAGTGATTTATGAAGTCTTGAGGTTTCTTCTCTAAAATGCGATAAAGATAAATAACCTAAAATAACTCAGTTTTCCTGTGAGTGACGGAGAGAGACTTGCAATCCTTTCTGCAGGTGGTTACAGGAAATATCTTCGCTCGAAGATATTAGCTTGTTAGCTACTCTAAAATTCGAGTATAAATAAAGTTTTATGTTATGTTATGTAATCTAAGACTCAACAATTAGTTTTTCTTATCTGAGATAAACCTTCGTCATGTCTTGCCTCATTTTAGAATATGCCCTTAGAGCTTAGGTCATGTGAGACGTTTCGAGAAAATCAACCCATAACTGGAATATTGGAAAACCAATGCTTACGGGAGCTGAGCAGGCTGTCCCAATGCCAAAAAGCTAAATGCTTTTATGCGCATTTTTAGATTCAGAGCGCCGAAACCTAAGAAACACATAAAAAATACATTGTAGTGACCTAATTTGCAAATCAACACTCACAGAATAATATTAGAGATAGGCTTATGGAAAAGGTATATATTGTATCCCTCATTATCCAAAGCGTCAACCTGGACTATCACTTTGTTAGTTGAACCGTTCAAGGAGGAAGGAAAAAGGTAATTCCCCAATTCATTATCCTAAATAAGCTAAATTTCCTTTTACCCTCGTGGTTAACAAATACCTTTTTAACAAAATTTATAAATGTATTTATTTGGCAAGAGTTGGCAAGGCTAAGGCTGTAGCAATTCAGGAAGATCGTGAACCACTCATTGGCACGATAATGAATTTTATCTGAATTTTCTTGTTACATTCACTTGGTACATGAGTCCTTTGAATGGATCGACTGTTGTGAAGTAGATAGATAGATCATGTGGCATCGATCATTACCTCAAAGTTCTGTTATCATAGGTGTGTCGACTAATTTCTCTTGTAATTTTTAGATTCAGAGTGCCGAAACCTAAGAAACACATCAAAAATACATTGTAATGACCTAATTTGCAAATCAACACTCACAGAATAATATTAGAGATAGGCTTATGGAAAAGGTATATATTGTATCCCTCATTATCTAAAGCGTCAAACTGGACTATCACTCTGTTAGGTGAACCGTTCAAGGAAGAAGGAAAAAGGTAATCCCGCAATTCATTATCCTAAATCAGCTAAATTTCCTTTAACCCTTGTGGTTAACAAATGCCTTTGTCTTGTAATTTTATCCCTGAACCGCCTGTAACTTCTTATGGAGCAAACGCCCCCTGTACCGTTTGTGATGTTCTCATTTAGACAACTAGACAACAGACAACTCTGTGTCATGTCTTGCCTCATTTTAGAATATGCCCTTAGAGCTTAGGTCATGTGAGACGTTTCGAGAAAATCAACCCATAACTGGAATATTGGAAAACCAATGCTTACGGGAGCTGAGCAGGCTGTCCCAATGCTAAAACTGCCTTTATGCGCATTTTTAGATTCAGAGCGCCGAAACCTAAGAAACACATAAAAAATACATTGTAGTGACCTAATTTGCAAATCAACACTCACAGAATAATATTAGAGATAGGCTTATGGAAAAGGTATATATTGTATCCCTCATTATCCAAAGCGTCAAACTGGACTATCACTTTGTTAGTTGAACCGTTCAAGGAAGAAGGAAAAAGGTAATTCCCCAATTCATTATCCTAAATAAGCTAAATTTCCTTTAACCCTTGTGGTTAACAAATACCTTTGTCTTGTAATTTTATCCCTGAACCGCCTGTAACTTCTTATGGGGCAAACGCCCCCTGTACCGTTTGTGATGTTCTCATTTAGACAACTAGACAACAGACAACTCTGTGCAGGAAAAAGATCTTTTAAACAGTTCAAACTACGCTCGAATGAACCGCGACATTCAGTCAAACAGGCTGGAGAACTATGTGCGGCAAAGGGAAGTTAGTCTAATGTTGACCCGAAAATACCAAATGAAAATGTTGCTCAACTACCTACCTTTACCAGTCTCCCTCCATCTAATCCTACGATCCTAAAAGCTCTTCCAAAATCTTTTCTCATCAAAATGAAACCTATAAAATGAAAATGTAGAGCTAAAAAGTGGAAAAGAAAAGAAAGAGAAAGAGAAAGAAACGCAAAAATGAAAAAGCGAAAGAAAAACATTTTGGAAAAAATTCCTTTCTGCTCATGCACGAACTTTGGAAGCATCAGGAACAAAAGGCCCCGAAGCGATCTACTCAGACGGTTTAATTTCTTTTAAGCCAGATATTGATCAGAAACCGGTTCGTAAAGAAATGACAAAATGGAAAGAGCATTAACACGACAAAAAGCTTATTTACTTAGATAGTCTGCTGAGAAGGAAGTCCTAACACATGCATTGCTTTATTTAGGGTAAGAAAAGTTTGTTTTAAACCAAATTTATTCAGTGCAAATATGGTGCAAAAAAGTGCAAACTACGATTAAATCAGGGGTAAAGATTGTAAATACAGCATTTGCCTTAGAATTTACAACCCCATGTTAACTGGGATGCAAATGCTGTATTTACCATCTTTGCTATTGATTTTCTGCTAGTTTGCACTTTTTTGCGTCATATTTGCCAGTAACTTTGTGTTAATTTAATTTTTCGTGCAGCGCAGTTCTTCTTACGTCAATTTAAACTGGAATTCTGTCACGGAGAGTAAAAGGTTCTACCATGTTCCCGCTTGCGGAGAAGAAACTAAGCGGATGATAAAAGTATAATAAATATGGTTACCATGAGGCCTTGTTCAATATGTGTACTACAGGACTGTTGAGGATGTTTTAATACGGAGATTCTCGTTTTTTACATCTGCCCCAAACTTACGCAACGTTTTTTGGCATCCCAGTTCAAGTACAGAAAACTGGACAAACCCTTCCTTTTGATTAGGAACATGAAAGTAGAGATAAGCAGTGATGCTTAGTAAACAGCTAAAACATAGAAAAAACAAGAATAAGAGTTGTTAGCATGAATTGATGATTATATGAATTTGAACATACGGAATGAAGAAATAAACGCAAAGATTATAATCGCAGTTAAAAGGCAACTTTTGCAGTTGCAAAGGTCCATGTACACAATTACTGTCTGTACTATATACAAATCTGTTTTTGTTGTAGGAGTTACGGTAATACTATTATTGGTACAAAATTTTCTCTTAACACTTAAAATTTCAATCTCAAAGTCAAACTCCTTGGCACAATGCGTCGAAACCAAAGAAACTTTCTTTCATTTTTCTTAAGACAAATAGTTTTTCTTATCTGAGATAAACCTTCATGTCTTGCCTCATTTTAGACTACGCCTCTGACAGCTTAGGTCATGCGAGACGTCTCGAGAAAATCAGCCCATAACTGAATATTGGAAAACCAATGAGTATGTGAGCTGAGCAGGCTGAATAGTATGGAACAGTATTCCCGACAGTGATCGTGCTCTACCTAAATATAAATTTAAGAATACCCTAGAGAGTCAGCTACTGGAAATTTTGATACAGGCGGATACTTATGTTGGCGTGCGTACTTTACTTGACATATTTAGTAAATATTAATTTTTATTTTTATTTCATTCATACCTTGTTTCATTTACCTGTTTTGAAATATATGTATTTTCTGTCTTAATAATTTAATATGTTGATGTTCGTGTATCTGTTTAACTCTATTGCTATGTTTTAACCCTATTATTGCAACTTTTTCTACTTTTCCTTCCTTCCTCGATTAGCCATAGGCTACTTTGCGTGCAAGGATGGATTAATTATGGCATGTGTACAAAGTGTTTTTAATAAACGTGACCTTGAACAAAATAATAATAATTGGAATCTCTAATAATAATAACAATTGGAATCTCAATTTGTGGTTGGACTGTATTTGGTTACCCTTAAAGCTGAATTTCTTGTTAGATATATACAGACGGAGATACGAATCATCCACTGCCTTGTACCAAATATACGTTTTTTCGAAATCCGACCGGGCCATAACCTAGTCCGCCCCACGGGAATCTAGTTCGCTTCTTCTTGGACATGGAATTTTACCCACATTTTTAATAAGATAGTAAATAATTAGCCACAAATTTCAGCTATTTGTTCAACAGGAGAAGTTTGAATTCGAGAAAAAGCTTCCTAGGGGTGAATATTTGAGCATCGTAAGTGCAAGAGGTGAAATTAAGGGAGGTCCACTGAAATGATAATCATAGAATGATTCTCCCGCCAGGAACCAGTTATGCGTATTTTTAGGCTTGGTGCATCAAATCAAAGAAAAAAACGTTTGGTTTAGCAAAAAATGCAGACTTACAGAATATTGCAAGATCTTTGTGGATTTACAGGTACAAATGTTTGTTTTTGGTACCTTCCATGCTTTCATTTTAATTTTTGTTAAGACAAGTAATTTGTCTACTCTGAAATAAATCAAGACGAAGGCGTTGTCTTGCCACATTTTGCACAATGACTTTGCCCAGTGCCAAGGTAATGCCAGATTTTTCGATGAGTACCTGAGTCTAGCAAGACTTCCCAATGATAATTATAGGATTGTTCTCTCGCAAAAAGCTTTTTGGCAAATATTTAGTCTTAATGCGTCGAAACCAAAGAAACGCTTCATACGATGATTAATCGGTGAAAATGCTAACGTACAGAAAAATAGCTGAGATTCGCTGACGCACAGGTATAATTGTTTGTCATCGGTACCATCTATGTTCCTCAAGCTAAAGCATTGTCTTGCCTCATTTTGGACAATGACTTTGGTAGGAAAGGTCATGTGCGAAGTTTCGAGAAAAAGCAGCCCATGACTGAAATATTGGAACACCCGAATAAGTAGGAGGTCCCAATGTTAATTAGGCTTATGCCTTCGTAAAATTCTTTCATGCACAATGCGCCGAAACCAAAGAAACTTTCTTTGATTTTTCTTAAGACAATTAGTTTTTCTTATCTGAGATAATCCTTCCTCATGTCTTGCCTCATTTTAGACTACGCCTCTGACAGCTTAGGTCATGCGAGACGTTTCGAGAAAATCAGCCCATAACTGAAATATTGGAAAACCAATGAGTATGTGAGCTGAGCAGGCTGAATAGTATGGAACAGTATTCCCGACAGTGATCGTGCTCTACCTAAATATAAATTTAAGAATACCCTACAGAGTCGGCTAATGGAAATTTTGATACAGGGGGATACTTATGTTGGCGTCCGTAATTTATTTGACATATTTAGTAACCAAAAACAGACATCTGTAACTGTACATCCGCAAAGATCTTGCAATATCCTGTAAGTCTGCATTTTTATTAAAACATCATTTGGGAAGCATTTCTTTGATTTGATGCACCAAGTCTAAAAATACGCATAACAGGTTTCTGGCGGGAGAATAATTCTATGATTATCATTTCAGTGGACCTCCCTTAATTTCACCTTCTGCACTTATGGTGTTCCAATATTCACCCCTAGGAAGCTTTTTCGCGAATTCAAACTTCTCCTGTTGAACAAATAGCTGAAATCTGTGGCTAATTATTTACTATCTTATTAAAAATGTGGGTAAAATTCCATGTCCAAGAAGAAGCGAACTAGATTCCCGTGGGGCGGACTAGGTTATGGCCCGGTCGGATTTCGAAAAAACGTATATTTGGTACAAGGCAGTGGAGGATTCGTATTTCCGTCTGTATATATCTAACAAGAAATTCAGCATTAAGGTTAACCAAATACAGTCCAACCACAAATTGAGATTCCAATTGTTATTATTATTATTAGAGATTCCAATTATTATTATTTTGTTCAAGGTCACGTTTATTAAAAACACTTTGCACACATGCCATAATTAATCCTTGCCCGCAAAGTAGCCTATGGCTAATCGAGGAAGGAGGGAAAAGTAAAAAAAGTTACAATAATAGGGTTGAAACATAGCAATAAAGATACACAAACATCAACATATTAAATTAACAAGACAGAAAATACATATATTTCAAGACAGGTAAATGAAACAAGATATGAATAAAATTAAAATAGAAATTTAATATTTACCAAGGACAAGAAAAATAGATATAGCAGACTAAAATAAAATGGAATAAAAAAAGCAGCTGAGACTTCCCTGCGAACAGAGGTTTCTTTCTGGCATGGCTTTGAGCATTACGAAGTCATTTGCATGACTTGTCAGTTATATAGTTGTAAACAAACTAACTAAGGCATAGGTCGTACTTGACAAACTTTTTGAAAAATTTGTTTACCTTGCGGTAGAAATCTATCATCGGGGCACATTGCCAAGTGCGACCCCAAGTTTTCAAGTTGGAAAAAACTTTGAAAATCGCAAAATATATCAAAGACGCCCTAGTGCTTGGGTGGGGCAGGCAGATTTTGGAAAACTCGAGCTAAACAATAGGAATCACAGCGGTAACTGTCAGTGCTTGTCAGGGTCGGAAACGTGATCAATTGAAGATCTTTGAAACAATCGCAGAAATTTTCTGACCTTCGCGCTTGGCGTTGTGAACGGACGAGGTTGCTACTGCTCCTCGCCATTTCAACGTTTTTACGAAAACCCTATTCAGGCGAGCAATTCACAAGCTTAAAATCCTTCGCCATTTCAACGTTTTTACGGGAACTCTTTACAAGCGAGCCAATTACATTCTACCCAGGCAAGTACAGTCAGAGGCTTGTTATTCTCCGAGCTAAACGCAGTCTTCGCAGCCAAGCACTTTATTTTCTTTATCTTTCCCATCCTCCTGAAACTGAAAAAGAAGGAAAACGATCCTATGATCGGACGAAGTTGCCTGCGGGCAGACGTCTCCTATTTCCTTTGTTGCACGCGGAGGCAACGGACGACGAAGAGTTAATGTTCTCTGGTATCTGGCCTACTTTAGTTCTCAATGTGTCAAAACAACGACAATTGACTCCCACTAGTAACTACTAGTGCGACCCTCCTCCCTCCTTCGAATTTTCGTGGTTTTTTAGCCGGCAAAGACAAAAACTTTCCTCAAGTGCGACGTTCTTCGCCGCTGGGGACGTTTCGCGCGGAGGAACGTCTGCGACCCAGGGACAGAAATACCATACTGATGATGCAAATCAACGTTTACATAATAAATCCAGTAGCGGTGTGCGACAAACGCAGACTGCAGACTTGCAGACTGGCAGGTAAACGAGGAAAACTTTGTTGTGGAATGCTTTAACAGGGTCCCTATCCCTGAAGTTTAAGCCATTTAAAGGTCTAGTTTAGGAATAGGGAATCTGTTAGAGTATTCTTCAACAATGTTTACTTCGTTTATCTGCCAGTCTGCAGCAGGGTTCCAAATATAAATTTGTCCAATTTTACGTGTCTTATGGTCGATTTTGGAAAAATGTTGTGTTCATCTACGAACGAGCTCCAGCAAAACTCAAATGCTTCTTCTAGAGTATTCCACAAATATTGACTGTTTTGTTAGAGATTCTTTGCGTTTAGATTTTACCTTTGTGGCCTTTTGTCTCTTCCCTATTTTTTCTGAGGGAGGGGGGACGTCTGTACACAGACTATCTTTATTCATGCAACTACTGATGGATATCGTCACCTCATGAAGTCTGGGCGCGCCGCCTGTAGAGCGATAGAGGGAGAGGATATCCCTACATATAGAGACTTTTCGGTTTAAAATATTCAGAGTAAGCGCTATCTTTATTCATTACGCGGGATGACGTAGTCAGCCAGCGTCTTAAATTCGGGAGCACATTCCTTCGTTTTCTTGGGAGTCAAAATTGCCTTGCTTTTTTAACTTTCCCGTATCCCTTGCCCGTCCCGAAAAATTGTATTATTTTTGTTGGCTGCAACTTCAAATCACGTGCAAGTCAGGTTGGATTGCACAAGCAGAAAAAAGATACTGCGTCAGCAAAGAAGGGAAAAGTAAGCTTGGACAAGACTCAAGGCTGTGCTATAGATCTAACGGCGCAAGACTTGGCCCCTTGGACTTGACTTGGCGACTGAAAATATTGTCTAGCTGGCCCAGCCGGGCGACTTGCTGGTGTTGGTTTCTCGATTTACAGTAAAAAACTTAGAATGTCAAGAATTTATTACTTGCGAAATCGTAGCTCGCTCGGTCGCTTCGCGCTCCGCTCGCTATCAAACTCTTGAGGTCGACTTGTAGCATGTCTGTCAAAAAGCTTTAAGGAAATGTTGTTAAATCGGGCAGCGGGCACGCGTTGATGTTTAAAGGTCGTTTCACGTAAATTCACATGTAACAGAATCCTTGACTATGAACGTGAAAAGCTGCACAGTTTTCGATAGTAACAGCTTTTCAAAATAACATTGGATTTTTTTCTTCAAATTACAATTGTAGGATTGTTCATTAGTTAGTTTTTCAAAACAAATTGATACTTTTGCTCTGACAGGCGTAAAGTACGGTAGGCGAAGCAAAACAATGGTTTTGTATTTTGAAAAATCGCTGAATAAACACGGGAGTCGCTCTTTTATGTTAATTAAATATTTTTACCTTTTTTTTTACTTTGTTTGCGAGGCTTAGACATAACTAAGATTGTTATTCCAGTAAAATACGACGTATAAAAAAGAAAAGAGACGACTATTATTGTGATTGTTCTAGAATCGGGTATTAAAAAAAGTCCGGCATGGTCTTTCGGGTCGTGACATGGCATTACGTATCACGTACTAAAAATAAATACGCAAAAGCTAACCGCATCCACAAAAGCTCATTTGTCCCGAACATTTCACCGATAATATAGAAAGAAAATACTTCCGTTCTGCGCTTAAACGACGACTTTACAACAAGATGATCTATTCAAAAGAGATAATAGTTTTGGGGCGGCCGGGGGGGGCATTTCCTTATAAGAGGCGAATGGGGATGTGCCGCTGGATGGGGTCACATTTTCACGACTGGAGTGACTATAATGGGGTTGCAATTTCCAATAGAGTTACTAGAATGGGGTCGCACATTTTCGGATTTTTGGGTAAGAGAGTTGTTCATTTTACGGTTCAGCAAACGTACCAGGATATTTGTACTGTAGGTGAAAAGTAAAGTGTTCTTCATTCAATTTATTAAAAAATGGGTCAGTTTATTTTTTGATGACCTATTTAAAGGACTGACAAAGTAGATACATAAATAGAAAGTGACATTACATACTTGCTCAAAAGTGACTAATATGGAGTCTACAATTGGCCATAGAGTAGACTATAACGGGGTAGGGGCTCTGAGAGGCCAGCGGCACATACCCAGCAAAAATTAACCCAAGTAACCCCCCAGGGGGCGCCGCGGTTTCGTTGAAATCATACCAGTTTTCCTGGAAAGCTCCACCGGATCTCAGTCAATCTTATTAGGCGAATTTTCTTTTCAACCTAAATCAAAATGATTAGTAAAAAGAATAGTGCCCTTATTTTTGACCCCCAAATTTTTTTTATAAAAAATACATAAACAGACCAGAATCTATCCGTTTAAAAAACATGAAATATTCGGCGGCGTTGCAAATGTTTCTCACATGGCGCGAAAACTTACTTTCATATGACAACATGCGAGGTTTTTTTTCGCACGCTTAGGAGGTCAAAGGGATGTGATTTTGCATAAAAAAAATATTCACAAAATTCTCCTTGACGTGTTCAGAAAATAATTTGTTTAATTTTTAATAATTAAGTAACAGCTCACTGATTTATTAATTTGGGCGACCAACTTGGAGGCCCGGGCACCCCAGCTAAAATGATCTTTCAGGCCTGGGCACCCCAGCTAAAATGATCTTTTAGGCCCGGACATCCCAGCTAAAATGCGTGGGGAGCCCGAAGGGCTCCCTGAAATTTTCCCAAGAGCACAGCCTTGCAGCCTTGTCGGAATGTCGGGAGTGTACGTGTAAAATTGATAAGAGTTTGAACAGAAGAATGTGTAACAAGTTTGAGAGTGACAATAGTGATTTTGATTTTCACAATGCGGAACACAAGGAGTTGCCTGAGATTAAAATCTCCTCCGTTGAAGACCCCTCGATGAAGGAAGAGAAGATTGCCAACAATTGAAACCAAAAGGGACTCAGGCTTCTTTGAGAACTACTGTGATAGTGTACTTTTTGTATTGCGCGTTGTGTGTTTGTTGTGACGCGGTGCATGTACGATTCTCGGCGTCGGGATTTTGTATTATCAGCAAGTTTTGTGTTAAGAGTGTTTTGATGTCAGTCAGGTGACGACAAGAAAAGTTAATAAGCCAGTTGTACAGAAGGAAAATTGTTTTGTGGAGGAAATAAAAGAAGTTGAATTGAGATCTCGTCGTTGGAAATTTATTTATAACAGAACTTACAATCCAGTTGGTTTAAATAAGGTTAGTAATTTTTTCAGTTTTTTCTCGACGCGGTCGTGCACCTAGCAGACTACCCATGCGGGAAATTAAAATCTTTGTTAAAGAAAACACGGAAAGTGAGACTTTTCGTATGGAAGAGAATTCTGGAAAATACACCATTGTCGTCTAAAATTCATTGTTACGTTAAAACTAGAAATGGTTTATACTTAAACCGGTACAGAAGTAACTGTAAGAGTGTGGGGTCTTTACTAAGGGCAAGTCCAAAATTAGTTCGAAGACAAGGCAAGGTTTATATATCGTCTAAGCACAAAAGAAGAGGCTATTCAGGCGGGGGTGAGGTATCAAAATAGGGTTTTAAGTAAGTATTTGTCCCTCTGTACATGCAACTATCCATTTTATAGTGGTTGCCAGAGCTTGATTCACCGGGTTAGTTTTGGCCAATTTAAGCTTTCTACTGACATCGAGAAGAATCCAGGACCTTCAGTTTATGTAGATCATGCTACAAAAACGATTCATGCTCCATACTGTCAAGGAAACGTTGTAGTATTTGTGAAAAATGCGGGACAACAATGTGTTGCAATCAGTTTGCGCGCTTTAATTTATAACAGACTTTATAGTAAGATAAGAATGATTACTTTAGTCGATGATATGATTCAAATAATGGCTGTTGGTAATCAATTATATTCTAGTCTGTCATTGCTTGAAGACAATCTATGTTAATGTTAACAGACTTGCCAGAAATGGTTACAGTGTTTGAGCGATTTTTCCAGCTTGAATACATTGAAAGTTATACTTGTAACATGCACGGCGATGCCAGAATTGAGGGGTAGCCCCACTGTATGTCCACGTGAAACACTCTTGGCTCTGAACTAAAACTCATTCGTTTTAACTGTGGGGATTATTGGTGGTGATTCTCATAGGTAAATGTGTATTGTTGGGAATACCATTCATGCATAAATTAGTATAATATTTTCAGCGTCTATATACATGTAGGAATGAGGACATAATTTATACGAGCTTAAAGGTGTATGTATTGCCAACTTTGAAGTTGATCTTTGTTCAAGCAGTCTTGAATACTGTAGTATATCAGATGTTAAAAGTTTATACCAATGTTCTTGTAAACAGTGCTGTGCTATAGCAGTTTATGCGACGTGTTACTCTGTTATTAATCCATGTGGATACTGGACTTCGGGAACTTTATCTGCCCTTGCTAGTAATGGGAATACATTGTACAATGTGATGGGTGTGAAAAGACATATTATGCCAACTGATCTTCCTGAAAGTGAGAGTATCAGTGGAGTTCAGATAAACCTTACTGTTTTTGCCGTAAGAAATGGTGTCCTATGTTGCAAATTGGCTGAGAGCAAATCTGTGTTGAAGATGTGCATTTCAAAACATTGTCATGAGGTGACAGGATTTTTTGTTGTGATTGGAACATACCGTATAAGCTGTGTAGTTCAGCGAAGGAGTAGAGTAAAGGATTTATCTTTTTTTGTGGAATATGATGACTGTTAGGTGAAATAAGACTTGTTGAAAGTATCAAAAGCATACAGTCATTAGTTGAAGAAATTTGTAAAACTACACAAAGTAAGTTAAATTGTCAAAGATTTCAATATGAAATACACTTTATGCAAAATTGAAAACAGTGAAAGGAAAAAGATTGCGAGGAAACACAGGTATAGTTCATTTGAGTATTGTGAGATGGAACCTCTTAAAAAGAAACATTTAGTTGCAAGGAGAAAAGAAAACAGGCAGATCGGGGTATAGACTTTTTCATTGAACAGTAAGAAAATAAAACGAGAAAAGGTCCCTGTTATATATGTTGTGTTTGTAGTCGATTACTTTATAAGAGATCAGTTCACATTTTTGGCAAAAGCAAATATGTGTGTCAAAATTTTTTCAGTGTGCAGTCTTCATTTGATGGAAAACATTATGTTTGTAAAACATGTCACTTAATACAGACATTTTCTATCAACACTTCAGTGCCACTATTAACAGAGGTTGACTCTATTACCAACATCCAATAAAAACAACCCCATGTAGAAACCCAGCAACTACCTCACAAACTAGGGGCGCTTTCCATTTACGAAAAAAACCCGGAAATTTCGGTGGTAGCAAAAGGGGAATTTCCGATCGGTAAAAAGTTGTCCCATTTGGTCGTAAACCCCGATAAGTGGCCGGGTGCCCGACCGTGGACCTGGAACTGGTACAAACTACAAGAAACGTCAATGGAACACGACATTCTGTTCGGAAATTCCAACCGGGAAAACGGGACCACCTTTTTAGATTTTCCACTTTTTCTGGGAATTTTCCAGTGGGACGAACCGACGAAACGTGTTCCATTTACCGCCGAACCGGAAATTCCGGAAATTTTGACTAAACGGAAAGCGCCCTACACCTATCATCTTACCAATCAACTTCCAATATAACCCCACGCCTACTACTTCATACATCTCAACTAACCCCTCAAATATGCAATACCACTGCACTACCCACATATCCTCATACACATAACAAACTTCACGTACGCGTAGTACAACCACGCCCAAATATACGCTCCCAAAGCGTCTTGTTATATGTTATTTTATTTTATGCTGATATGTCTGAATAATAGTGCATTCAAGAGATACATTTTGAGGCTCAAGTGGACGACAAAACGTTCTTAAGAGTCTAAATTGTCTCGAAAAGTCTTTGACGCTGAAGACTTTTAATATCGACGCCACATGACGTCATTGTCAAGTGTTAAGTGGGAAATATATAGTTTTTTCAGCAATATGTAAAAAAGCGTGCCGATGATGCGTTTTTCGCCAATGACAATACAAATAAGTAAGGCGCAAAAAGTTCTCGATAGAATGATTAAGGTTTCGTGTTCCAGGATGAAACAGCAATCAAAATTGTGGCACATTTTTTGAGGACTTTGAAAAGACGGTCAATCGATATACTTCTCCTTCAAAACACAGCTCCAAAGGTTAACACTGTCGCTCCTCTATTTTTTTATTACAGATAACTTTATATATCTGGATAACTGGCTAAAGTTGGGCAGAAGATTAGCTGCTTCAGTCATGCCTAAACGCATTCTCTTGGTGGTAGGCGGGTTATTTGTTGTTACCGGTCTTATCTGCCTCATAATTGGAATCGTTCTATTGACACGAGGAACGAAATGTGAAGAAACCCCCCTTGCCAAACCAAGATCCGTATCAGACCGATGTTCTTACTCTGACGAAGCAAAGCGAAGTGGCTTGGATACGTTTCTCCAAAAATTGCAAGATAGCTATTTTCGTCTTCATCCTAATAAGATCGCATTTAAACCAGGTGTGAAGCCCTCCGAGATACGACTGAAGTACCGGGCTTATAACCCTTCTCCAGACAATATCAAACTCATGACTGATGAAGCAATGCGCTTATTGAAAGAAGTAAATCAGATCAACTTGGAAACACACAAGCTCAGACAGCGTGAAAATAAAGCATTAGCTCAAGTCAAGCACTATTTGCAACACGTCTTTGGGGTCCCGTATGATGTAAACTATTACGCCGGTGATTTTCTGTTGGGGCCAAATCTGTGGTGTTGGCAGCCACTATGTGACACGCCTCATGAGATGGAGCATAGCCTACATTTCTTTAAGCCAGGTAACACAAAAGAACTGGAGAATTTTGAAAGAAAATTGGCCGAGGTCAAAGAGATGTTTGCCCAGTACAGGAAAAACATGGAGTATGGCGTAGCAGTTGGAATGGTGCGCTCTGTAGAGGAATGCAAAGCTGGGATCAACGGATTAACGGCGTATTTCCGTAAGATAGCAAACAAAGGACCAAGTGGTAAGAAAGTTTTAACATAAGACATAAAACAGCCTTCATGATTAAGAGTACATGGCTCCTCATAAAAGAAGTTAATATAAAGATATGTTGCGTCACTTTTGAGCTTGTGGGTAAATTTTTCGGCGTGACGAGTTAAATGAACCCAAAGTACATTTATTTATTATGAATTTTGAAATAACAATTGTCCGGTTTTATCGTAGCCCTCTTACATGCAACATAGCTTTATTTGCTTTCCAGAATAGTTTTGTATGACGTCTCAGCAAGGAAAAAAATAAGAAATAAATGGGTCTCAGTATTCCTCTTGCACAGTGTTGGCGACAAAATCCACGCATGCGCAATTTTGAAATCATTATAACTATAATTAAAAACAATAGGAAGAAAAGGCTATGGTAAAATATCCTTCAAATAGTTGGACCACGGTTGAATTATCTTTCAACTTAGCGTGAGAAAACAGGCGATGCCGCCACTGGTTTCCCTACAAAATGACGTCTGAAAAACGAGCACAGAAATTCCCTACCGATAACGCGTCATTACTCAGATCTGGGTGGTGCCTCTGATTGGTTGGAAGTTTGCCCCATCCAATCAGAAGCATTATCCAAATCTGGGTACTGACGCCTCTTCAGTGTATGCAATTTTTGCGCTCGTTTCTCAGACATCATTTCACAGGGAAACCAGTGAAGGAGTAGCGAAATGTCGTCTGTTTTCTCAGGCTACTTTCAACTAAGAAGAAAAAGCGTTTTGGATTAAAATGGATATTAAAACTGGCATTTCAAAATAATCTTTTCCGTCAATGCGGGTGTAGCGCCCTTGTGTTTGCCAATTGTTTGGTTACTAACCGGAGATTTGTGAAACAGCTAAGGTAGGCGTCGTCTAGTGGCGAGAACACAGAACATTTTAGCTGAAAATACGTTCACATGAAGACCTTACTGCGGTATATGTTGTCCAACTATCTTCTTACGTTATTATTTATTAGTTTTCCTACCATGCTTAGTAGCTAAACTTCTTACTTATCGCTAAATCTCACCTTGGATTTTTACTTTGTATTTTGGTATTTGAAAATGATGTAATGGCAACATCAAAACGTTAACGCACAGTTTTTGGTTGTTTTTAGCGGAGCTCTCGCGCACGCGAAGCGCGCGCAGCGCAGCCCTATGGGTAAGAAAATCTGGTTATCTATGCTTGACGTCAGTACGTGCGTACGTCTACCCCGTCATGCAAGCTGGGGTGAAATTTTAGATTTCAAGCACCCCGCGTCTTTCGGCGGTAAATTGCATGGCCACCCAGACTTAGATAAAAAAACAACAACCAAGCCAAGTCTTTCTTTCGACTAAACTTTAATCTCTACATTAACGCGGATAACAGGGAAAGAGCTAGAGAGAGAAATAAAAACCAGGGAGACCAATTTCTTTGGACGAAAAACATGAAAATTTTATAGCGGCGGTGAGAAAATGAGAAATGCTAGCGGCCACCAAGGTAAAAATGAACGGCAATGAAAAAAAAAAAAAAAGTCAACAGGAACACATACCACATTTCCTCCATTAAACGTTTAACTAGGAAGTTTCTGGAAGTTTTACGTAGTAGTCGTGCAAAACAACGGCAAAGTAATGTACAAAAAAGTGTGCTGAACGTGCAAAGTTGTTTTTTTGCTAATTATGACCTTAAAAATAATTTAAGGGAACTTCGCTTTCAGCCCTGGTTAAATCAATATATTAAATTATCATTTTCACTTTTCTATTGTTCTTTTATTTTTCAAGGTATTTTTGAAGAATCGTTTGTGGAGTCTCTTCTTGATCCACAATTCATTAAGAATATCACAGAAAATACAGAGGAAAATAATTCTTGGGAAACGAAGTACGGAAAGTCTGTAAATGAGTCTTTGAGGGAGTTTCTGGTCGACAATTTAGGGAAGCCTATACATGAGTTCTTCACGTAAGTTATCTTTCCTCCATCGTTACAAAGCTGAGCAGCGTAGTCTCAATTTTAAAGTTGC